CAGACAGGACAGGTTCCATGGATGCTCAGAAGGTGGGACCGACAGGTCTCTGTGACTAACTACCTGGAGGAGTTTTAGGATGGGACAGATGTGGTGGGTCCATGATGATTGAAAGAGAAGTTGAAGACACAAGGCAGAGAAGAGGCCAGTCTTCAAGTCCCTGAGCAGGGAGGCGGGGAGGGTGGATCCGAGTCCACAGTGGAGGGATTGGGCTCACAATGCTATTTTGATAGGAGAGAAGGAAGAATGTGGACAGGAAGGTTTGTGGGTTTTGTAGCAGGAAACTGACAACTATTCTCTCTGTGAGACAGAGGCCATTTTAAGGAGCTGCTGCCGAGAATGACCAAGAAAACAGCGAGGTTGCTGAAGGCTTTGAGAGCCCGAGGGAGGCTGGAGAACGGGCAGGAATGGAAGCACGGCCTGGGAGAGCTGGGCGGCGAGGGGGGCGTTCCTCCACAGCACGCCGAGGGCGGGATGCAGGCCTCAGGTTGGAGTGTCACCTGGAGTGTGTAATGGTGACATGACAGGGCAGGTAAGCTGAGGATACTAGCAAGAGGGAGGCTGACATAAAGGGCCCCGTAATCTAAACTGATATTGGGGAAAAAGACAAGAGGAGCTATTGGAGACGGCACAGAGAGGTCTGGATCTCCTAGAAGCTCCCACTGGGCAGCAGGCGAGGTGGAGGGAGAGAGACCTGCCACATGTTCCTCCTGGGCCACCTGGATGCTGGATCCTGAAAGAACTTGTTCCTGAAATTTCCAAATGTGTTCCAGTCCAGGTGGTCCTTCCATCATATCCAGTCACACCCCACCTGAGACCTCAGGCCCCCCTCGAGGAGCTTCATCCGGGCCTCGGGGGACCAACACAAGCTCAGTTCTTGTGCACTGACTGGGTTGCCTTCCGGACTGCTCCCCGGGACATGTGAGACTGCCCTGGGCATGGCAGAGACCGGCCCACTCTGGTCCCCTCCCCAGCCAGGGATGGGACATATCACTTCTACCCTCACAGCCTGCTCTCCCAAACCTGGAACCTCCTGGCCCCCATTCACATGGGGCAGAGGGGCGCCAGCCCAGGCAGGGTGAGAACAAGTCTAGCTACCAGGAGATTCCTTTGCTGGGTCTGTTTGATCATGACTTAGAGGTGAGATGAGGGCGTTATTGCTGAGCGAAGCAGGCAAGTTGCAGTTAACTTGTTTGAGCCTCAACTTCTCAATCTGTAAAATGGGGTGCCTGCCCAGCAGGGAGGTTGTCGGAAAGTGCTAACACATCAGTATTATTATTGTTATTGTTGTCGTGATTTTTATATTCTACGGCATCAGAACATCTAATTCACGTCCTTTGCTGTTCTGAACTGGATCTTCTGACCTGAGTCCTGGGAAACAGAGAAGTTCAAATCCCAGCCTGGAGAGAATGAGGAGGAGGAGGCATGGCAAGCTCCTCCTTCAGGATTAAGACTGATCACCTGTCCCAGGGAGCAACTGCCCTGGAGGTGGACAGGGCAAGATATGGCTAATACTTGCAGATGCTTGCTCGGTTCTACTTTACACGTCACTCATTCAATCCTTCTAAAACTGTGTGAGGCAAGTACTATTATCATCCTCATTTTACTGAGAAGAAATTGGAGCGCTGAGGGGGTAAGTAACTTGCCCAAGGTCACACAGCAGGTAGATGGCAGAACTGGAATTTGAATCCAGATAGTCTGTGCTCTCAATTCAGTTTACTGCTCCGCTGGGTTTCTTCAACTTCATGTCCGTGGCTTGTGTGACCCCTGTCTTTGGCCCCGACACAAGGACAATGGATGTGGCCTTACTGCAGCAGGAAGAGGCAGCCAGGAAGCTAGGCTGTCCTCTGCAGTCAGGTCTGGGTTGGGGCTCCCTGGGAAGAGAAGGTGATGCCAGCTGCTGAGGGGTAAGGACAGGGTGCAGGGCCGGAGGCAGAGATGGGCTGGGATCAGAGGGTCTGAAGCCAGAGGAGGGCAGACCAGAAGGAGGCCTGGCTGAGTGCCAGGCCTCCCAGCAGTTCCAGCATCCCCAGGTCTTTGAACCTATGGACCCAGGTGGTGCTCCCTCTTCGTGCCTGGGGCCAGGCATGCAGAGCTCAGTGGGAACCATTCCTCAGGGGAATCCAGCAGGGCCGCTCTCAGGGTCCAAGTTTCCTGCCACCCACAGCAGGCTCTGAGAGGAAGCCTTCCCTGCCAACCCTTCTTGGTGCTGGGCTCAGAAAAGTGACTTCTAATCTGGGGTTGGGCCCTTACCTCCTCCTGGATCCCTCAGAGGTTCTGACTCAAGTCCCCTAGAAGATGTGAAAACGGGGACGGCCGAGCTCTTTCCTAGCCCCGAACTGCAGGCAGGGCAGCCCCTCCAGGTGGACCTTGGGAACGCATGAGGGCAGGGGACAGACCCACCTGGGTTCCCAGCAGCTCCTTCCCTGGAGGCCAGGACACGCTATGCTACTCAGCCTTCTCTCCGGGGTCTCGGGCTGGGGCCCACACAGGGCCTTACCGGGCCTGCGAGGGGGTCGGCTGTCTCGGGACTGAGGAACAATGGCTGGGGTTGGGCTCCCCTCCTCCCTGGCGGCTTCTCGCCAAGCTCTCCTGCCACATCCTCCTCTGCAGACGAACACTCTTCTGCCAGTGTTTCCATGCTCAGTCCTCAGCGCCTCCGCTACCCCGACCCCTCCCTGGTGATCTGATTCACTCCCAGGGACTCAGGGAACCTACTGTCAATGATTCCCAAGCCCACATCTACAGACCGGCCTTCGCCCTGTGAATCCAGCTGCCCCAGGCATCTCTCCCCTGGAAATCCCACGTCCGGCATTGAACCCTCACTCCCCCAAAGCCTGCTCTTCCCCAAGTGCCCAGCCAGCCAGTCAGAAACCAGGGTGGCTTCGTTGATTCCCTACTCCCCACGTCCAGTAGCCGAGTTCTGTCAACCACCCCTGCCATCCGCCCCCATCCCTTCCAGATGTGACCCTGCCTCTGTCACACCTCTGGAATCTCTCTGTTCCCTGTACCACACCTTAGTCATGTCTGGATCTCTCCCCTGCAGTCCATCCCCACGCACGGCATCCCCCTCTTCAGCTGCATCACTGGTGCGGGCAACCTGGACCCTACACTGCAACCCTCCTGCACCTCCTGCCTTTTCCTCAAGCACCCCCCCTACATTAGTCAGCCCTTACTTTCTTTCTCTGCTGGCTCTTTCCTCAAAGGCTAACACTGCATCCGGTGGACACATGTGAGTGGCTGCCTGGTTCCTGACGACTTCCCCTTTGCTGGCTGGGACTGACCTGGAACAAACAGGTGGGCTCCCCAAATCACAAGTGGACTACAGGAGCCTGCCCCCACTGGTCAGAACTGGTTGCACCAGTAGTAGATACTTTTTTTTTTTTTTTTTTTTTGACTTTGTTGGGTCTTTGTTGCTGTGCGTGGGTTTGTCTCTGGTTGCGGTGCACGGGCTTCTCATTGCGGTGGCCTCTCTTGTGGAGCACGGGCTCCAGGCACACGGGCTTCAGCAGCCGTGGTGCGCAGGCTCAGTAGTTGTGGCGCACGGGCTTAGTTGCCCCGCGGCATGTGGGATCTTCCCGGACCAAGGCTCGAACCCGTGTCCCCTGCATTGGCAGGTGGATTCTCAACCACTGCGCCACCAGGGAAGCCCCACAGTAGTAGATACTTGACTCAAGCTGGGCCAATCAGATTCTAGCACCTGAATACTTGAGACCCAGAATCAAGGGTTTGGAAGTCCCAGGCATGGAGCCTCATAAGTGCCGATAAACAACAAAGCACTAGAGGTCCCATGCCTGACCTCAGGCGGCTGGGACCACCTGCTTCCTGCCCTCCTGAGTCAGCTGTCCCTTTAATTCACCCCCAAAACTCCTTTCCATTGCTTGAAACCAAAGAAGCTTAACTCAAGTCTCTGCCATCTTGAAACTGCCTCCCTTGCCACAAACTCCCCCCCAGCAGCCATGACTCTGTTCTCCGCCTCCCTGCCAGGGTTCTTGATAAAGTCTCTTCCACTGTAGACTCCACGCCCTCACCCGTCATCCACTCGCCCGTCCGCCCACGGGAGTTCAACAAAGTCAACAAATATTTACTCAGCATCTTCCGTGTGAGAGACTCTGAGGGCACAGAACAAGGTGCAGACTGTGGCCTCAGAGAATTCACAGTCTGCCCCGGTAAGGGGTTAGTGCAAATTGTAACAAAGATTAAAATGCAACGTGGTAAGAGACTGGTAGGGAAACTCACAGGTGTTATGGAAGGGAGGGGCTCCGGGAAGGTGTCCCAGGGAGGGGATGTCCGAGCACTGTCATGGCTTTGAGTGACAAGGGACATGTTTGTGCACAAGTTTCAGTTCAGGAAAATAAAAAATGAGCGACTTCTTCCTATTTTTATTTAAAATGAAAATAGATTTATTAGTATCTGTGAAAAACATAACTATTTAGATTACCACTTGATTGACAGGAAAAAAATCTCCCTAAGAAACTTGGCACAATGATTTTCACCTGCTAAGATGTTATCACCTGGGCACATGTGAAATGCTGGCAGGTAGGCAGCCCACAGGGGGTCTACTGGCCAGGGATTCTCATCACTGTCATAAAGGACTTGGGAGAAGAGAAGGGCAGGGAGACAAGGGAATAGTGTGAGCAAAGGTCCATGGAGAAACAGCATGGTAGGTGGGGGAGGAATAACAAATAATTGGTTAAGTAGGGAGTAAAGTAGGGACAGGCAGGAAAGGAAGCCAAAGGCTGACAGAGGCCTGATTTCATAGCCAGGGCCTTGGTAGGCTTTATCCCAAGAACAGGAGGGAGCCATTGAGGGTTACTGAGCAAGAGAGGGTGTTTCACTTTGGTGGCTAGTGTCAAGGAAGGGGGGATTGATCTACCCCTGCTCCACCCTTAAGCCCTAGCCACCAAGTCCCTGAGGCTTGTGGTTCCCACAAAGTATCTGCTGTCCTTAAGCTGTCGGGCATAGGGGTTGGGGTGGGGGGGGGGTCCAAAGATGAGGGCTCAGAGGGAAAAGTGGTCCCTACTTCCCTCCGTCCCCAGCCCACCAACCCCAGGGTGAATGTAATTGTCCTCGATGAAACCATCGTCATCCTCATCTTCACCCACCTTGGGGCGGACCCCTTTCACTGTCCCAGACAGCGGGCGGTGCTGGTAGCTGGCACGGTATTTGTGGCAGAGGTGGCATTTGGCAGCAAGTGCGATGAGGAGAGAAAGGACCACAGCCCCCAGCACGACCCCTACCAGCACAGGCCATGCCCGGGCCCCGCTGCCCATTCCAGGGGATACGGCCGATGCTGTGGGGAGCTCCGAGGGCTCCACCGTGGCTGCAGAGAAAGGGAAAGTGTTAGGGATGGGGCCCCGGATTGGCTCCCTGGGGAAACTGAGAGGAGTGGGGCAAGTTACTCCCCACAACCTCAGCATCTAAGGGGTACCCAATCCCCTCCTCAGCCTCCCTCCCACTGTCACTCACTTCGGTTTGCCTCACTCATTGAGGGGCCGGAAGACACTGGTGAGCCTCAGCCTCTGCCAGAAGAGCCCTGGCTCTAAGGAGACTCCCAGACGCCAGGCAGCCCCAGGGCACAGAGTCCTGGAACATACACACACGTTTGGATGTCAGGGATGGCCACAGGGCGCATGTTCCAGGCCACACTCACATCTGTGTGAGGGCGCTGCACAAACTCCGGAGACTGGACAATTGACCATAACCAGTTGCCCGCAGGAGAAAAACAAGCCGAGCCACGGGAATTGGCTGTTTGTAAGGGAACACCCGGAAGCGGCTGGAAAAATAACTCAATGCTGGAATTTACTGAGCACAACTTATGATTCAGTCACCAGGCAACATGCTTACAGAACCTTGTAATGAGGACATAAACATTATCCCCACTTTCCAGGTGAGGACTCTGAGGCCCAGAAAGGTGAATTAACTCAGCCAAAGTCCCAGGACTTGAACCCAGGTCTCTGATGCCAGGGCCCAGAGCCCAGGCTGCTCCCCTGCTTGGTAAGCTGAAGACGGTAGGTGGGGCAGAGGCAGTCCTGGCTTCCAGAGGCTGGGCAATAGCAACTGCTGGGAGCTAATGGGCAAAGTGGAGACCACGCATGGAGGACGGCGCTGGGCTCCACCCAGGACAGGAAGCTCCAGACACAGCCTGGCCCCTCTGCTCCTGAGTCAGAAGCCCTGCGTCCACACCCACCACCGCTACCCTCAGCCCTTCAGGCACATTCCTTGTCCTTTCACCTCTGCCCCAGGGGGCGGCGAGCTGTATTCTAGGAGTAGCCAAATGTAAATCAACTGGATCAGGAAAATATCTGGCTGAGAATCACTAGGGGCCCGGAAGGATCTAGAGGAGGAAAAGGATCTGAATTAAGGGAATATCTGGAGGAAGATCATATAGGCTCAGGATACCTGGAGGAACAGCATCTGGGCCAGAGGAGTGTCTGGGGGAGCAGCACCTGATTCTGGGGAGCACCTGCAGGAAGAGCGTCTGGGTTACAGAAGTACCTGGAGGAGGAACAGCTGGGGCTGGAGGCGTCTGAATCAGAGGAGGACCTGGGAGGAGCGTCCAGGCTAGGAAAGCACCTAAGAGAGAAGCACCTAGTTTAGGGGAATACCCGGCCATACTCTTTAATATCAATACTGTAATGATGCCCTCCCTCCTCAACTCCACATTGCCACCAAGCCCCATGAGTTCTTCCTCTCAATATCCCTAGAATGCCTACGCCCCTCCTCTGCACCCCGCCGCCACTGCCCCAGTCCAAGCCACCTTCATCTTGTACCTCAACTCTTGCAATAACCTCCTAACTGGTCTCTCCTCACCTCTCATCCATTCCTCAGAGTGATGGGCCTATGGCTCAAATCTGACCCCATTACTCCCCTGCTTAAAAATCCTGCACAAGCTCCCCAGGCCCGCAAGGCTGAGGGCAGATTCCTCAGCACATCCTTCAAGGCCTCACAATCCAGCACGCAATCCAGTACACAGCCTCCAGTTCCCTCCCTGTGCTACACACACACACCTATACGCGCACACACACGCACACACACACCTACACGCACACACACCTACATGCGCGCGCACACACACTCACACACACACACCCTGCCTTTTGCCCTCTTGTTTCCCAGCCACCCCCTCCTCTGTTTTTTGAGTCCCCCATCCCTCAAGGTCAAATCAGACCATACCTGACTGTGAGGTTGTCCCAGGGCCCCTCTCATCACCCCCTGCACTGCCCTGCCCAGTCAGCCACCAGTCAGAACTGGCCAGTTACTAGATGGGCAGCTCCCTGGTCAGGGACTGGGCTGAATAACGTGCGTCCTGGCGCTGGCAGAGCTTAGTAGTCAGCTGCTCCGTACATGTTTGTGAGATGAGTGGACATGGGGGTAGGGTGGGGGGTCATGAGAAAGGAGGAGTAAATCATTCACTCATCCATTCATCAGCAAACATTCATTGGGTGCCTACCCCGAGCCCGGCACTAGGCACTGGGTCCTCAAAAAAAAAAAAAAAAAGGATTTTGTTAAATTGAAATGAGTTGAATTCAACCTGACGTTTTTAAGATTTTACTCCTACTCCTTTCCTTCCTGCCCTGTCCCTGTGAATTCTTCCCAAGGACACGCACACACACACACACACACACACACACACACACACACCCTCAGGCTGTCACCCCACCCCTTCTGGTCACATTTCTTCCACCGACAAACACACACCCCACACTGATTTGTAGCTCCTTTGCTGCTCCCAGGAGCCCTTGGGGATCTGTGGGTTCCCCATCCCAGGCCCCCCCCAGTGTCTTTCCCTCTGCTCCCCACCTGTAGGAACTGTGCACAGTCCGCGGAGGAGCTTCCAGTTAGAGCCGGCAGGACCCTGCCAGGTGGGCGGGCCAGAACTGCAGCTTGACTCACCTGTGGACGCAGCAGCCAGGCGGGGCCGAAGCCGCAGTTGAGGGCGGAGAGCAGAGCCTCCAATAGGGAGGACTTATGCTACACCTTCCCAAGAATTGCGGAGAACCTTCTGGCTCAGGCCTCACCCCCACCCCCAGTGCCGGGGGCGGGGGAGGTTGGGGGTTTAGTGCCGCTGGGATCCAGAGAGGGGGCAGTCTTCAGCAGACAGCCGCTCAAGCTGGCCGCCCTGATTAACAAGTGAATTTCCGGTGACAGGTGCGAAGTCCAGAGTTGAAGAGGGACCGCCTGTGTAGGCGGCCGGCCGGAGCCAGACGGGAGGGGCGTAAGCATTCTCCAGGCGAAGCCAGAGGGACCAAGAAGACGCGAAACTGCCTGCAAAAGTGTATGTAAGCGTGTGTGTGTGTGCGCGCGCGCGCGCGTGTGTGTGTAGGTCAATGGGGAGTATGAGTTCAGAGGCCTTTTGAGGAGTGTGTATGTGCCCTTGGGGGGTTATTGTGTGTATGTGTGTTTACCTGGACAGGGTACAAGCCTCTATCTGGATCTCAAGGATCCTGTGACCCCACAAAGCTGGGCTCTGAACCTCTACCTTTTGCCTTACTCCTCTTCCCCAGGCCGAGTGCCTCCTTGTCCTTTCAGACCCTCAGGGAGTCACGTTCCCAGAGCCCTCCGTCTAGCCCAGTAAGCCCCGCCTCCACCCTGGCAAGCCCCGCCTCCACCTGGCAAGCCCTGCCTCCTCCATCCCCAGAGCACCGTCTGTCACAGCATTGCTTTCACGATCTTGTAATTGTTTCTTCCTGTGCTGCCTCCCCACCTGGACTAGCAGGGGAGCTCTCCCAGGGCGGAGCCAAGTTTGACAGTCTCTGGGTTCCCAGCACCTGCCACAGGGCAGGCTCTCAGTAAATATCTAAGGGGCGAAGGGTTCCATGAGCTAAGCCATGCTAGCACAGGAGTTCACAGGAACCCGCAGGGCACAGCGGAGCAAGGGCTGCTGCCAAGGCTTGCAAGTGGGGCACGGTAGAACTGTGCCTGGAAAGTGGAGGCCAGTTCATGCAGGACCTTGAAGATCTTGGCTCCAAGTCTGAGCTCCTACCGCCAACGGCCCCTTCCTAACTCTCCCACCTACACCTCACACTCTCTGCTGCAGTCACAACCAAACTGTTCCCCATTCCTAGAACCCACCGTGCTCTCATCTCCCAGGCTTTGCATGCTCTCTTCCTGGGACCCCTGCTTTCCTCCTACCTTAACCTTCATCCTCTCCCCCCCGCACATGTCCACCTCCCACCTAGCTGACTGTTCCTCCCATCACATGGGCCCCATCTTAGGTCCTCTTTATCTAGATGCACTCTAGCCTGGATCCCTCCTCCCCGCTCTGTGCCCCCTGAAGACCCTGGCCCTTCTCCCCCATAGCCCTGACCACACAGCATTGTGATTTTCTCTTTACTTGTCAGAGTGCCCTATGAGCCTGTAAACTCTGGAGTTAGGGTCTGTGTCTGTCTTGTTTCCCTTCAAATCCCTAATATCTAAAATGACAACAATAAATACTCTTGAAATAAATGAGACGAAAGTGGAGATTATCCTGGATGGGGCAGTGAAGAGCCAAGGAAGTTTTAGGGTTTTGGTTTGAAATCACAGGATTCAAAGGAAATTCATTGAACACCTACCATGTCCTGGGCACACTGTGCCAGGTGGTTTTGTTGTTGTTGTTGTTGTTGTTGTTTTAATTGAGGTATTCACATAGCATAACCTAGTTCACATAACAAAAAATTCACCATATCAGTCAATTTCAGTGCACAATTTAGTGGCATTTAGTACATTCAGAATGTTGTGCAACCATCACTCTATGTAGTTCTAAAACATTTTCTTCACACCAAAAGGATTCTCCCCACTCATTCAGCAATCACTCCTCATTTCCCCCTCCCCAGCCTCCAGCAACATCTAATCTGCTCTCTGTCTCTATGGATTTTCTTATTCTGGATATGTCCTACAAATGTAATCAGATTTGGGCCAGCTTTTTAATGAATTATTTCATTTAATCCTCCTGACTGTACTATGAGACAGATGTTAATTATTTCCTTAAGAGATGAATAAAATGAGGCCACGAGATGGTAATTTGCATTAAGTCCCACAGAAGAAAACAAGTAAAGGTCTACCCATCCATTAGTCGGCCATTTATTCAATGAATACTTACTAAATGCCCACCACAGAGCCACAGCCAGCCCATATGGCAAGCATTGCAAAATAGCAAAAGGCCACCTGCTAGATGCCCCACAGCATGGAGAGCAGACAGCAGGCTGGATACTGGCACCCACCGTCCCATCAGCCAGGAGCTCTGGTGCAGTGAACAACCTTCTGTGGCAGCCCTGGCAACCACGTGGTAGGCTCTGTGCTAGCTGCTGGGGAGAGTTCCTGCCCCCATACAGCTTTCATTCTGGTGGTGAATATTGACAATACACAAGTAAAGAAATAAATACGATCATTTCAGATAATGGTTAGTGCTATGAAGAAAGTAAAATAGCTTCGAGTGATGGAGTTGTGGGAGGGGCTGCCATTTTTTTTCTTTTTTAATAGCTGTGACATCTATGGGTGACAGTC